AAACAAGTTATATGAATTATTGAATGTGAAACTGATGATGTGCCCTGTACACTTTCACTCAATCCACAATAAAAACCTTAAATTAAAAAAAAAAAAAAGAAAAAAAAAATTCCACTAATTTCAATTTAAGAACATTGAAATAATATCTAAAAGATAAATATTTTCATGTCAATTATACTAAAAATATTTTTTTAAAGTATAACATTATAGGCAGGGGTAGGTAGAACCTCCAGTGAATGATTTCCAATCTGATGCGACTAGGCTGGCAAAAGGAAATGGGGATAAGAGTCCTGTGGTACAAGAGTGAATAATTGCCATCAGGACTGACAGCGAGGCCAGGAAATATAGAGGTAGATGTTTTTAACAAAAGGAGGAGAGTGATTGATTTTGCAGCCCAGGAGTGGAGGTCCCTGGGACCATCAAGTGAGAAGAACGGAGAGCATGACCCTACCCAGAAAGGCAGTGATGCCAGGGATGAAGACAGAGACAATGACATAGACAGATGGAGCGGCTGGGGACACTGGACTCAGGGAGGGAGAGGGGCTGTGTGCTGACAGCCGGTGGGGGACAGGCCTGTGGGGTGTATCCTTTGGTTATTTGATGAAGCATGGAGGGGACTGTGATCATTGCAATGAAAGGAAATACGATAGGATGAATATAAAACTGATGTTCTCCCATGTAAACACACATAATTCACAATAAAAACTACAAATAAAAAAAGTATAAGATTATAAAATTACCTTGGACAAATCTCTGAAGTTGCTTGGCAAGGTTAAATCTAGTTCTTCTGATTCATAATTAGTAATCACCCAGGGAAACACTGGATACTGATTTAAGTCATTGTAGCTGCGTCCTGGTTAAGGAAAAAACAAATAGTAAATCTTAATTTAGAATATTAAAATAAAGTGTTTAGACGCAGGAAAGTAATTACCTAAAAATAACAATAAGCATAACCAACACAGTTACTGAGTGCCAGGTATTATTCTCAGTGGCTTCCATAAACTCTGTTATTTAATCCTCACAAAGATATTCTTGATGCTAGTTGCCTTCCAGTCTGCTCCAGTAGTGACTACATGTATAACAGGATGAAACACTGCCAGGTCCTGTGCCACCCGAGCTGTGGTACTTTCCAGCCCACTTTGCAATTGTTATTATTATTCCATCTCATGTAAGTCTTGCCTCATTTTCGGTGACATGCTCTATTTTACCAAACACAATGTCTTTTGCAAGCATTATGACATTAGGAGGATTTGCATTTTTTGATGAAAATAAATGAGTCATAAATGATTAGGTAATTTGCCCTAAACCATCCATTTAGTAATGGTGATACTATATTCAGTTCAAATAGTTTAGTCCGTAAGTTTATACTCATATACTACTTTACATTTTCATTACTTGAAAACATGCCAAGATAAAACTCTTTATTAGGACTTTAAAAAACAATTAGCTATTTTCAGATAGTTTTTTTAAAGCCAGAATGGTTTCTCTGCCACAAATTAAGCAACCAAGAAGCCAACTAACCAATCAAGAAGACCTATGGACATTCAGTAGTCATCAATCTGTAGGATATAAAGCACTGAATCGCAAGACCTGCTTGAACCCCAAGGTCAGCAATTCAAACTCACCAGCTGCTCCTCAGAAACCCTATACAGGGTCACTATGAGTTGGAACCGACTTGACGGCACTTAACAACAACAACATAAGTAGCTCTAAAACTGCCATCTGTGGCAACATTCCAATTCTATGATCCTGTGACTATAATGTAGGACAATATTAAGACTGCTTCCTCCAATCTGCCACATGCTCCAATCTCCAAATGTTGCCACAAATTCTTCTGTTATCTCTTCTAAACTAATGAGATTAAGTGATACATTGAGGTTTATTAAAATAAGAATAAGACAAAGAATGAAGAAGTCCTTGTACTTTGTGTACAGCAATTTTCTAAATATTGCCACTCTAAACACAAATCTTGGTGTTTGAATGGCAACTCAATTGTTTACTAGGCTATAACCTCTTTTTAGTTAGATTTAATGTGAACAGACTTTTGTAGCTAACATATAAAAGAGACAAGCACATTATTACTATTATAATCCTTTTCTTGTTGTATATTCTATCATCATTCATTTCCTTTCATAATGCCATATCACTGTAAAGTGGAATGTTAAAGTAATTCTCTACACAGGCAGTTGTAATCTAACAGGGCTTCAATATGGTTCTTCCCTGGTTCAGTTATAGCCCATAAAGAGAAATGAGAAAGGACTCAAGTTTGGAAAGTGTGGGTATACTGGAATAATTACCGGAACAGGAAAAGTGGTGGGTCTATACCCTGCTAGAAACTTAATGTTACTCATAGAAAACAAGGACAATTTGTGCTCTCATACCAGCCAACTTTCTTGACCAACAGAAGTGGAAAGAGTGGTAAGAAGGAAGCTGACAGTGCTACTTTGAATGTGTGTTACTCTCTATAGTTCTAATATTATTCCCATCTCATGCATTAGGCTCCTGAACGGGTTCACTACACCTCTTCTAAATCTTCAATTCTAGGATTTTGATCTGTAATTTGTCATGCTTTGGTTATCATTTCAGTATACACTATTTTACAAATTAGAATCTATTCCTGTTTTACTGAGTTGGTAATAACTGAACTGGTTCAAACTGGTTTGAACTTAAAAAAAAAAAAAATCCTAGCCAATAGAATCCAACATCATGTTCAATAGAATCCAATTTTGTGGGGATTGCAACTAATGTCAGGAAACAAAATGTATACAAATTGGCTGAATAAGAACCTAATTTGCTTTATAAACTTTTACCCAACCACATTATAAAGTTAAAATGATTAGAACAACAACAACAAAACAAAAATAACTTTTATTTTTTTTAAAGAAAATAAGCATAAATTGCTACAATCTGATGAACCTGACCTATACTTACGGATGTACTAGCTTAAAATACCAACCAAGAGGGAAGGATCATTACCATGCCTTCTGTACATAGGGTTGATAGGGATAGGCAACTTAGACATTGGCTACCTAAAATGGGGCTGTAAAGGCATGAAGTCACTGACTTACAAGTTTTCAAGAGAGAGTTTAGTGTGCAGGGGAAGGCAGAATCCCCACTGAGTGGTTTTCATCCTGTCTAGACAGGTCTGGTGAAAGGAGATGGGGACAAGAGTCTCATGATTCAATAGTAACTGTTATCATGACTAATTGGAATTGTTGTAACTGTAAAGGTAGACTTGTAGCAAAAAGCAGTGAGTGGTCGATCTTACAGTCCTAGAGCGGAGGACCCTGGGGCCATCAAGGAAGAAGAGCTGGAGCAGAGTGTGGGACCCTAACCAGAGAAGCAACAATGCTAGAGATGGAAGCAGAGATGATGGCATGGAGAGATGGAGTGGTTGAGGACTCTAGACTCATGGAGGGAGACAGGATGTGTGCTGGCAGCTAGGGGGCAGGCTTGCAGGGTGTGCCCTTTGG